CGATAGAGAGTCTATATATATATATATATATATATATATATATTAGTGGCGTCCGTTGGTATGGCGCAAAGAGCACTCCATTCATAATCACTAAAATGCTGTCACTCATCTTAGTTCATCGCGATCTCACAAAGATATGTTATTATCAAGAAAGTTATACGCTGCACAATGAATCTCTTATTTACATCGCATCTACACTTTGTTAATAATGAGATGATTCGTGCTGAACACAATACCTGAACAAAAAGCAATTTGAGCAGTGAGTGGATTCTAACTTAAATGCCTCTGATTCAAGAAATCAACAGATAGGTCTGTGATTAGCTACATTGCTCAACGCTGCAAAAACACGTTGAAATAGAAATCAATCTCCAGAGTGCAAACCATAACGCACTGGATTGTTTGCCAAATCTGCAATAAAATGCCATTAATACAGCTTTAACTGAGGGTGCTTTTGATTTCGTTTGAGGACCCCCGTAGAACCAGGCCTGTTAGGAATTACGCAAATGTGAAAATAAAGCATAACTGGTGGCCGTTGCATTCCCAAACTCACAGCACATGAAATAAACAAGTTCACTGCATTCACTGCGAACTGAGCCATTCTGAGGCACGGAAAACACCGGATCATGAGCTGATCGCCTGAACGAAGTGCGAAAACAGACTTGATGAAGGGATTGTGCTTTCGTTTTAGTTTGGTTCACAGATACTTTGCCAAAGCATAATGGCCCAGAACTCAACTTTAGAGACCTTTTATGTTAAAATAAGAAGTTTAAATATATTTGAAAAAACTACACTTTTTGCCCAGATGACCTATCGTTTCATACCGTCATGTGACCACGATGATATCGAGACAATTTTACATTTTACACAACTTTTCTTTGAACTTTCCTGCAAACCTCCTATAGCACATTCTTGCAGTTCCCCAGGTTTAAAACCTCTGACCACTTTTATGAAACCGTTATGGTGCTTTTTGTCATTTTGGAGCTCGACAGCTCAAATTTTTTTATGGCAGAAAATAAGTTATTGGGGTTAGGAACCATATGAGGATGAGCAAATGATCAGAGAATTGTGATTTTTGGGTGAACTGTCCCTTTAAGGGTGGAGGATCTGTTCCTCCAGTCAGTCCGCAGTCTGGATCAGATAAATAGATCCCTTGTCTGAGCTCCATCAACACAACTTTGTCAACCTGGAGACATGTTTTTCTCTTTCTCTGTCTCGCTGCACAAATACACATGTACAAACTACCTCTCTTGTGTTCTTTTTCTTAAGTCTTGTATAAGAAGGCAACCCCTTGGCCGGGCTCTAGAGGTCTGCCCGCCGTCTCTTTGGCTCTCACCTGAACTTGGATTTACTGTAAGCCAGGGGTCTGCATTCCACCATGGAAATGGCCAAAGGTAGTCTGGGATCAGGGCTTTTTCTTTGGCAGGGCCTGAATAAAGGCTTCAGTCAGCTGTTTCCAGATCCTGAGCAACTCGAGAAGTGAAACAGGGTTATAGAAAAGGAGGCAGATGTCTGTCTGTGTAGATAATGATATTCCAGACTTGTTGTGTGAGTGCATGCAATTCAAAAGAAATTCAACAGTCACGCAACAAAAGTGTTTCATTAGTTCAGCACAGCAACAAATTGACCAAGAATTTATCACTTTCAGCCTGCTTCATGTAGTTAAACTTAGGACAATTCAAATTGTAAGTTAATTCCCTATTTTTATTATTGCCTATTATATATATATATATATATATATATACAGTATATATATATATATACATCCACTTACATGAATCCACTAATTTAGCTTCAAATTAATTTTACTTTCTCAAATAAATGTTATTTATTTTATCTTTATGTTTGTTGTCTGTATTTGTTGTTTTATATTTTACTTTGTAACATGACAAAAATTCTATTTTTGCAGTATAGCATAATTATCAACAGTATCTTGACCAACCAGCTTCACACAAAAAAAGCCAGTGCATTAACTAGAATAAACCAGCATTGAAATTCATGCTGGTGTAAGCTAGTCTTTTCAGCAGGGTAGCTGCACAAATGTTGTCAGCAGGGCACACACACACCAACCAGCAAGCACACACTTACCCACAATGCACCACCCAGAAGGCCATCACTCAACTGTACCTGTTACTTTCCATCTTAGCGCAGAGAAGAATCCCCAGCCACCCTAACCAAATCACATCCTGGAAATGAACATTAATGAATCAAGACCGCAGTGCATTATGGCAAAGCCGCTTAAAGTGGAACCGCCACGCAAGAGGAGAGAAAAGAAATGAAATGCTTCTCTAAGCCCCTGCTAGTCACAGCCATTTGCAGAAACAAAGAAGCCCATGTTTGAGTAAAGATTTGAGTTTATCTCAGCCCCATCACAGTGCTCCGTTTGAACGGTGGGAATTGGCAGGGTGTTGTGTGTGTGCGTGAGAAAGAAAGAAATGCATGGTATATGTTTTTCTTAAGTGTGTTTAAGAAAAATGGTGGGAATTGGTGGTTGTGTCTTGGCACGTTTCGCTTAAGATTAATATCAAACATCCTCCCTGGCAGTACCTCCCCGGTACCTGAGAGAGACAAAAAGATTGACTTCCTTTTCCTGTCTCTATTTTAGATGTCTTGGCAAAAAACTCTCCTTCCTCTGATGTCAAGGCGGATTTTGGAAATGAGTATACAGGCTGTTGAAGAGGGAATCTCATTGGCTGTCTCAGAATGTCACTCGCTTTCCAAATACTTCCCCTCGGGGAAATGAAGGAAAAACACACACGCGCACACACGTACACACAAGCGCGGCTTTAATCATCTGTCTAAGTCTCACACTGATACGGCTGTAAATTAGAGTGGAGAATTATTCAGCATGGATTTCTTTTTTCCCTCGCTCATTATGAAAGCTTGTCGCGGGGCGGGGGAACTGTTAGCTCGAGGCTTTCGCGTCTGAAAGCTAAGACGCGGCGGGCTCTGAGCACAGCGGCTGAACTGTTTACCTCTGAAAGCTTGAATAGAGACAGAGCACTTCTGACACCGAGTGCCTGTACTGTACAGTTTATTCTTCAAGCGCAGGCAAGCACCAGCAGCACCAAGCTGTGCTAGCTGAGAGACAGACTGAAGCTCGCATGTTTGTGTGTGTAAAGGCTTTCTTTCTACTGTTGGTGCACTCAGAGAGAACGTCTCTTTCAGAGCTCTTTGGAAACTGGTACATTTTACCTGGGGTAACCAGTCGTTTTGTGCTTGAATGATAAGCAATCAAGAGTTTGCATGCAATACTGGCATATCATCGTATTGTATCATTTGTGCAAAACCTGCATGATTTAAGATGATCTAAAGAGCATCTTTTCTTCAGAGGAAGCAAGAATATGTGACTAGATTGTGCAAAGGAGGTCACATGATCAATCGTAATGTCACATCCGTAAACTGCTTGTTTTCAGGTTTTAATTAGATTTTGACTCCCAGATTTTCTGTGCTGCATAAATGCACTTAGTCAGGAGTCTCAACACAAGTGTCACATGCTTGAAAGCTGATGCTCTTCCACAGCTGAAAATCTCTGAAGATACACCGATTGTCATGACAACGATGAGACGCAGAGGGAGAAGAAGGGCACTATAGCGGTGCGAGACACTGAAGTGCCAGCGTTAAGACAAATATCATTTTAAGATTTCAGAGTTTTAAATCAGACATTTAGTCATAATTATATACTTCTGCCTAGAAAAGAATAATTGTAAAATCATTAATTGTATTCACACACTGATAGGCCAATATCTTGACCAGATAATGACCATGGATAGCTTGAAATCTTGAAAAGCAACTGTAACTGGGCTTAAGTCAACATGGTTTGCCATTTGCAACCCATTTTATTTGCTTGATGTGTCATGTTTCCAGGTTTAAGAGTAAACTGAATGAGAAAAAATGTAGGGTGGAACCTGATTTTATTAATAGAATATTGATTGGATGGGGAAAAGGCGGTGTTACATACTAGAATAAAGCCTTAGAGTTTGTTAAAACTGTACTTAAAAACTATTTGGCTGCTGGTTTACATTCTTCAACAGGTCACTTGGCTAAAGTGATGCAGGTTATTAGTCTCTTATGTTCACCAAGGCTACATCTATTTGATCAAAACAACAATAACAGTATTATTGTGAAATGTTATTACAATAGGAGTAATTATGACTTTACAGCGTAAAGAATTATTTACTTTACACACACACACACACACACACACACACACACACAAGTGAAAAATTGTAATGGCTCCTCATTAAATGGGGACTGAGGATTTAGCTTTAAAAATCACAAAAGTTCTATAAACGTATAAAAGTGACCCATGTGTGTTCTTAAGTATCACTTTATTAACCCTCTATAGGACTAATGAATTTACAGCGTAAAAAATAATTGACTTTATATTTTACATATATTTAGGAGTAAAATCATTTTCCAAAATTTGTTCTCTTCATCTGACCTTTGACCTTTTTTTTTAGGGATCCGTCATTTATTACTGACTTTGTCCCATTAGGGTCAATTATTTTGACCCTATTATAATTGTCTGAAACTTCACACACAACCAAAATGCTTTTTCACTATCTGAAAAGAAGTGAAAATGTCTTACTGTTTAAAAAAAAACATTAAAAATCTTTATGAACATTACATTTTTTTCTTGTGCTGCTATATTTGATTGGAACTCGCTCGTGAAAATGTCTAAAACTTGACACAAATTCGGATGATTTCATTGAGAAGGGTATAACTGCAGCCTGGAGATCTCCAAATGGGGGCGGGAACTCCAAAACAGGGTGGGAGCTCCAAAATAGGGCGTGGCTTCCTCCCATTGACAGACAGGCACATGACACGCGTGCACAATTTTTTCCCCAATCCACTTCAGTGCAAACTCCGCCCCACCGCTGATTCTAAAGATTTTATTGGTTGTGTCAATTAAAATGTTGATTTCCTGCACTATGCTACACATTTTGTTGGTTGAACATTAATATTGTATTTTAAATGCAATTTTCTTAGCGTCATTTATAAATGACGATATCCCATAGAGGGTTAAAATAACTGTTTTCTATTTTAATGCATTGTCATATGTTCTTGTGATTGCACAGCATTTCAGCAGCTATTACTCCAGTCTTCAGTGTCACATGATCCTTCAGGAATCATTTTAATACACTGATCTGCTGCTTAAGAAGCATTTCTTATTGTTATCAATGTTGAAATAGCTGTGTTGCTTAATATATTTTAGATTTTTTTTTTTCAGGATTACAAAGTTCAAATGAACAGCATTTATTTGAAATGGAAATGTTCGCAACTAAATCTCTTTAGTCACTATTGACCAATTTAATATATCCTTGTTGGATAAAAGTGAATTGAAATGAAAATCATGAAGACAAACATTTACTGTAGAACATCATGCTCTAATGAATCGTTCGCAAAAAAAGGTGAAGAATGTGCGTTGGGTCAGTAAATGGGTTCATTTTGATTTCATGTTGACTTAAAGTAACTCTGTGGTCAGGACAGATGAATTCAAACTCCCGTGAGACAATCACTACGTCATAAGTCTTAAACTCAAGGAAAGAGTCCCTCATAAACTGTAAGCAGAGTTGTACACGGCACAGTGGTTTCTCATCATCCCGGCCTCAGCCAAACCATCTGAGAAGAATTGAACTTTCTGACAAACTTGACGGAGGGTCTCCTCGGAAAGATTAATCCTAATCAAGCTGGCATGTGAGAATGAGCGTGTGCGTACGTCTCTGGCCTATTTCTGTGGAAGCGGTCATGTGACGGCATCAGATGATAGCTCAGGTCAGCGGTTGCAAATTGCAGACTCCTCTCTCTCGTTTGTCTGTACTTCACATGTGTTAGCACTCTCATCCCAGCGTGCCTGAAACGTAAACACACCCGCGGTGTGGAGCAGCTCTGCTGTTAAGTGAGCGATGCATCATCTCTGCAGAAGTATGCATGACTCGCATTTGGATCGCATTATTTCACTTGTTGAAGTGGAACAGCTCACGTCTGGCCCTCATAATAGGGCCCAGCTGCGGCTGTATGGGCCAATGAGATGAGTGAAAGAAGGAGAGGGATTTTTGTGGAGAGCATGGCTGTGTGATCAGGCCGTTGACTCTAATGAAGTCGTCCAGATGTATTGTTGAATGGTAGCTCATTTCCTCTCCCATCCTTCATGCGGTTTGACCTGTAACAGTGTGTGTTTGTGTTTGTACATGTGTGTAGGGTGCTGTGATAACGCCAGCCATGGACGAGGTGAGTTTCTGGGTGACTGCAAATCCATTCACAGGTCCAACTGATTAGATGAGCTCTGCTAATTGAAAACGTGGAGATCAGTCGCCTCAGGCCAAAATCCACCCACAACTTCCTTAGTGCCTTTTAATTCAGCTTTACAAGGCCTGACTCCAGTCTGGAGCGCGTCTTTAAGTTCATTCTGGTCTGAGTACCAAACGCAGCCCTAAGGCCTCTTTTTGGAGGAGGTTGAAAGGTATTTTTTGTTTCTTGTGAGAGGACATCCTGTAATTATGACATCATATCCTTCCAGGGAGTGGTGACGGAGGCTTCTCCACAGAGCATTCCGCCCTCATCGCAGGACGCCAGCGGTCAGCAGCAGCCTCTGGGCATGGACAACACCAGCGATCACGCGCCCACCTACACTTTTCAGCCCGCTAAGTGAGTTTGAGAAACACTTCACATTGATAAGACAAATGGGGACAATGTGTCTTGTATTCATATGCATGACTCCGCAAGTACACAACGCTTTTACAACGTTGCATTTTGGTTGCAGTTAGGTGAAACATTGCAGTGCAACATTTTGAAAAGAAACCATATGCGTAATGATTGTAAATCATTTAAATGTGCAAACCGGACGTACAGTTTACGTTTTGCTTTAAATAACCAAAAATAACCAATTCCAGATTTATAAAGAAGAAATAAATACTTTTATTCAGAAAGGATGCATTAAAATGATCAAAAGTGGTAGTTCATTTCAAATAAATGCTGTAAAATGTATCACAGTTTATACAGAAATATTAAGCAGCACAACTGTTTTCAACGTTGATAATAATAAATGTTTCTTGAGCACCAAATAAATGATTTCTGAACGATCATGTAATACTGAAGACTGGAGTAGTGGCTTCTGAAAATTCAGCTTTGCCAGCACATGAATATATTATATTTTGAAATATATTAAAATAGAAACACAGTCATTTTAAATTATAATAATATTTCACAATGTAAATATTTTACTGTATTTTTGATCAAATAGATGCTGATGAGGCTTTGTTTAAAAAATTAAAGAAATCTTACCAACCCCAAACTTTTGGACATAGTATAGATAAAAGGTTACATTATGGTTCCGAATTTAATTTTATACAGCCAAAATTAAACATTTTAGAAATGTTGTGAAATAACAAACCACAAAACATCCATATAATGTGTGTTTTGTACTAAACAATACTGAAACCTATGACATGAATATATTATATTTTGAAATATATTAAAATAGAAACACAGTCATTTTAAATTATAATAATATTTCACAATGTAAATATTTTACTGTATTTTTGATCAAATAGATGCTGATGAGGCTTTGTTTAAAAAATTAAAGAAATCTTACCAACCCCAAACTTTTGGACATAGTATAGATAAAAGGTTACATTATGGTTCCGAATTTAATTTTATACAGCCAAAATGAAACATTTTAGAAATGTTGTGAAATAACAAACCACAAAACATCCATATAATGTGTTTTTTGTACTAAACAATACTGAAACCTATGTAAAACATTTTATTTAGATTTGAAAATAACATAATCTGTACATTTGAATAAGATGTTTCAAAAAATGAAGTGAAGACACCTGAACACAACCAGGCCACATTGTAGCACAGTCGTGAGGTTCCAAATATGTTTCAGTGCTTGCAACTTCATAACAGTATTCTGCAACATTGTAAAAAAAAAAAAAAAAAGAGTACATCTTTTGTATTAAGAATGTAGGTTTAAAATATTATCACAACCTTTTTATAACTTAAAAATATCGCTGTGCTAACTGGAGGCAAGCTGAATTCATGATATGGTCTTATATTTAGCTCAATAAATGCCATTGTTAATAGGCCATCAGGAATAAGTGATAATAGGTTTAAAATATTATCACAACCTTTTTATAACTTAAAAATATCGCTGTGCTAACTGGAGGCAGCTGAATTCATGATATGGTCTTATATTTAGCTCAATAAATGCCATTGTTAATAGGTCATCAGGAATAAGTGATAATGCATTATTCATATAGTTTGCTTTTCAAACTGTCTGACTTTCTCATTGGTTCAGATAACCAGAGGAGGAGGGCGGCGTTGAGGTGACTGCGTTGCCTTGAGACTGGGGGACTGCAATGAGGGAACATTGAAGACAGAGCGCAAGAGATAGGAAAACACGTTTGTGTCTACTTTTGCACAAGCATCTAAAAAAAACAACTACAACAAACAAACAATTTATTTAACACTTGGCCCACACCAGAGGACCTTTGGAGAACTCACAACCAGACCGGAAATGAGAGAAATGCAGTCTGGGAGATCGAGCCTACTGTTAATCGGCTACCCGAAAAACTTTACCTTCATGAAGTGAACGAATTCAAACAAGTACAAGTTTTCCTATTCTTTTTTTGAATGTGCAGGTAGGTTTTCAGAAACAGTGGGTTTTTCTATTAGACGAGGAAGCACGTTCTTGTAAAACAATGAGAGAAGGAGCAAAAGAAGTCTTCCTCGGATTCTAAGCTACTATTACTTTTCTTTTTTTTATGAGTTAGATTTTAGTTTTCTAGAGAATATCAATGTTTTTTCATCTTTGTTGCCTTAATTTCTGCAATGAGGGAACATTGAAGACAGAGCGCAAGAGATAGGAAAACACGTTTGTGTCTACTTTTGCACAAGCATCTAAAAAAAACAACTACAACAAACAAACAATTTATTTAACACTTGGCCCACACCAGAGGACCTTTGGAGAACTCACAACCAGACCGGAAATGAGAGAAATGCAGTCTGGGAGATCGAGCCTACTGTTAATCGGCTACCCGAAAAACTTTACCTTCATGAAGTGAACGAATTCAAACAAGTACAAGTTTTCCTATTCTTTTTTTGAATGTGCAGGTAGGTTTTCAGAAACAGTGGGTTTTTCTATTAGACGAGGAAGCACGTTCTTGTAAAACAATGAGAGAAGGAGCAAAAGAAGTCTTCCTCGGATTCTAAGCTACTATTACTTTTCTTTTTTTTATGAGTTAGATTTTAGTTTTCTAGAGAATATCAATGTTTTTTCATCTTTGCTGCCTTAATTTCAAGAAACATCTAAGACTTTTTCCTGTTTGAACTGAACAGACTGACCAATGCAGTGAAAATGACCTGACAAAGAAAGGAAATTACCTGTATAACGCATAGAAAGAAAGAGAGAGAGAGAGGACTCCTGGAGACGTTTTAAATTACCAGTGGTGACTTTGTGTTTAAAAGAGAGGACAGACAAAAAAAATATTGTGGTCATGATGATGATGATGATTAAAGAGAGTTGCATTTTTTAGAAACAGAGGAAAAAAATGTTAATCCACTGCATCATGGGAAATGCAGTTTATTGTGTAGTGCAGATCATTTTTAATGGCATTATTGTTTTTATCTGCAATATTTTTTATGAGCTTTAAGGTGTTTTTAGCCTGCTTTGCTTGTTTCATTGCGTAAAGAAAAAAGAAAACTAAAACAGTCAAAAAAAATGGCAGTGCAAATCTAAATAGATAAGAGCTTATGGATAAAATCAAAACGAAAAAAAAGCAAATGTGTGCAAAAAGCAATAGTAATAGGAAATTGTTGACAATTTCTTTAGTCTTTCTTAGCTGTGGATCAAATGCAGCCCATGGATGGCATATTTTATACCAAAGATGAAGAAACCCCCCTCAAGACAGTGGAGTGGATCGATTTTTTTCGTTTCTTTTTTTCTATTTGAGATTTTTTGGCGTAATCATTTGGTTTCAGAAGTATCCGTTTGACCTTGACGGCCAAATTGGTAGTTTAGGGTTTAAACTTCCTTCCACTGTTGCAGAATCTATGTCAATCGTTCAGTTGAGAGGCAGAAAACCACCATCACTGATTCTCATGAGTGTGATCTCCCCAGCAGAGGGCGTCAGAGAGCGGCTGAACCATCAATCATCTCCCGTCTGCCCGGCTGAATGAACTATACCTCTATCGCTGCACCTTCTCAGTCGCCGACCGACGGTCGGTCGCTATTAAACACGTCGCACGTCCGTTCAGTTCCAGGCCGTTTTCATCATTTCCGCTCAACAGGAAGGAATCAAACTGTGTACAGATCACTACCTCATCGAAAGCAATTTTACCATGAGGAACCACAGGAGAATGTGTTGCAGGTCATGAAACACAAGTTTTGCTTCAGGGGCGCTGAGAAACGTTCGCAATTAGCAGCATTAGCATAACATGTTGTTCTGAGCACTCCCGTCCCTATTTGCAGTCACGTCGATTGAAATGCCTCATATTATATGCAAGGTTTGTTTAATCAACCGGATGCCATGGGAAATCTCTTGTGAAAATGACAGTCTTTACTTGAAAACAAAGGCTCTGTCCCAAAGCCCATGCGACCGAGGCCACATTTTGGTGGCGTAATTCCAGGTAGTAATTCTAAAATCTCAAACGAGACACATTAAAGGGATACTCCACCCCAAAATGAAAAGTTTGTCATTAATCACTTTCCAAACCCGTAAAAGCTTCGTTCGTCTTCCGAACACAATTTAAGATATTTTGGATGAAAACCAGGAGGCTTGTGACTGTCCCGTTGACTGCCTAGTAAATTACACTGTCAAGGTCCAGAAAAGTATGAAAGACATCGTCAGAATAGTCCATCTGCCATCAGTGGTTCAACCGTAACGTTATGAAGCGACGAGAATACTTTTTGTACTCGAAGAAAACAAAAATAACGACTTTATTCAACAATTTGTCTCCTCTGTGTCTCTCCGCATCACCGTAACGCCATTTTGGAGAGTATCCACTGAACGTAAACTGCGTGTCAGCTGCGACACAATGATACGTTTTCTACATGTATTTACGCTTTGATTTGAACGAAAACAGTGCATCCGTGCAGCTCGGCTGACACAGAATAGTGTGCCTTCATAACATTACGGTTGAACCACTGATGGCAGATGGACTATTCTGATGTCTTTCATACTTTTCTGGACCTTGACAGTGTAATTTACTAGGCAGTCAATGGGACAGTCACAAGCCTCCCGGTTTTCATCCAAAATATCTTAATTTGTGTTCCG